CCAAGTTTATGGATACAGAAAACAGACTGGTAGTTGCCAGAGGTGGAGGTGAGGTGAGCGGGAGGGTGGGGACAATGGGTAAAGGGTGTCAAAGGTACAAAAGGTACAAATGTCCAGATATAGTCATGGGAATATAATGTATAGCATTATGACTATAGTTAATAATACTACATATTAGAGAGTTATTAGGAGAATAGATCTTAAGAATTCTCATCACAAGAAAAAAAGAGGTAACTATGTATAGCAATGGATGTTAACTAGACTTTGGTGATCATTTACAATATATACCAATGTTTTATACCTGAAACTAATGTTATCAACCAAAAACCTACACAAAATAACCCTGTAATAGTGGTATGTAAATCATTTGAACTCTAGCATATAGGTTAAGAGAAAGAAGTGTTAAAAATAACTATAGCTACGATATTATGCTAATGGCTATACAATATAAATAACTGAATTGGAACATCAAAAAAATTATTGTGTGGGGCACATAATGGGTAGAACTTTCTTTTGTAATTGAAGTTATAAGCTTAAAATGGATGGTTATAAAAGATGAATTATGAAAGCATCACAGTAACCACAGAGCAAAAATCTACAATAGATACTACACAAATGTTATATAGGAAATAATCAATTATACTACTGTAAAGACACAGAGACAGCACGAGAATAAGAAAGGATCTATAGAACTACAAAACAATCAGAAAACAATTATTAAAATGGCTATAGTTATTACTTATGTATGATTAAATGTAAATACTTTAAATTTTCCTATTAAAAGACATAGCATGGCTGAACAGATAAAAACAAAACACAACTATATACTGCATACACAATACTAAGCTTTAAGGACACTCAGAAGCTGACAGTGAAGGGATCAAAAACGATAGTCTATGCAAATGTAAACTAAAAGACAACAAGCTTAGCTATACTTAATTCAGACAAAATAGACTTTAAGTAAAACACTGTAAAAAAGGACAAAGAAGTCATTATAAAATGATAAAGGGATCAATTTATCAGGAGGATATAACTGTAAACATATGTGTACCATATATTGGAGCACTTTAATATATTAAATAATTATTAATAAATCTGAAGGGAGAAGTAAGACAGTAGTGAAATAATGGTAGAGCAATTCAAAACCCTACTTTGAACAATATATAAATCATCCAAGCAGAAAGTCATTAAGGAAATACTGTACTAAAATGACACTTGGACCAACTGGACCTTACAGACATATACAGAACATTTCACTCAACAGCAGCAGGATACACATTCTTCTCAAGTGCATGTGGAACATTATTGAGGACAGATAATGGGATATATCACAAACATATCTTGGCAAATTTAAGAAGACTGAAATCATACCAAGTATCTTTTCCAGCCACAAAGACATAAAACTAGGTATCAATAACAGAAGGAAAGCTGAAGTTCATAAATCTATGGGGTTTAAACAATATGCTCCTCAGCAACCAATGGGTCAGGCAAGAAGTAAAAAGGGAAATCAAGAAGGATCTTGAAACAAATGAAACACACAATATATCAAAACCCAATGGGTTTGTGCAAAAGAGCAGTTTTAAGAGGTTAGTTTATAGTGATAAAGGTATCAAATAATCAACCTCACATTATCTCATGGAACCAGAGAAAGACAAACTAAGCCCAAAGTTAGCAGATGGAAATAACAAAGATCAGAACACAAATAAGTGAAATCGAGACAAGAAAAACAATAGACAAGATCAATGAAACTAAGAGCTGGTTTTCTGAAAAAAACAGACAAGCCTTTAGCTAGACTCCCCAAGGAAAAAAAAATCAACTCAGAAATGAAAGGGGAAATAATACAACTGATATGATAGAAACACAGGGAATCAGAAGACTCTTATAAACAATAATACACCAACAAACTAGAGAACCTAAAAGAAATTTATCAATTCCTACAAAATATACAACCTGTCAAAACTGAATTATGAAGACACAGAAAATGTGAACAGACCAATAATAAAAAGGAGTTTGATAAAGTAATGCAAAACCTTCCAATAAAGAAAATCCCAGGACTAGATGGCTTCACTGGTGAATCTATTAAACACTTAAAGAAGAATTAATGCCAATCCTCAAAGTCTTCCAAAGAGCTGAAGATAAAGGAACATTTCCAGGTTCCTTTCACAAGGCCAGCATTACCCTGATACTGAAGCCAAATCAGGAAACAACAGCTCAATAGCCCTGATGTATACAGATGCAAAAATTCTCAACAAAAAATTAGCATACTAAATTAAAGAAGTCATTAAAAACAGCATACACCACTACCAAGTGGGATTTATTCCTTGGATACAAGAATGGTTCAACATGTGCAAATCAATAAATGTGATATACTCCAGTAATAAAATAAAAGAAAAAAATCATATGATCATCTGAATATGTAGAAAAAGCCTTTGACATAATTCAAAATCCTTTCATGATAAAAATGGTACACAAGTAATGTTCCTCAGTATAATAAAGGCCATATACAACAATGGTGAAAATTTAAAATTCTTTCCTCTAAAATCAGGGAAAAGATAAGGTTGATTGTTTTTGCCATTTCTAGTCAACATAGTATTAGAAGTCCTAGGCCTTCAATTAAATGAGAAAAGAAATAAAAGGCATTTATAGTGGAAAGGAAGAAGTAAAATTGTTTGCAGATCACATGCTCTTATATATTAAACCCTTAAGACTGAATTAAAAAGCTATTAGAACTAATAAATGATTTCAGTAAGTTTGCAGAATAAAAATTCAACATACTGATACCAGTTGCATTTCTACACACAGTGAACTATCTGAAAGTGAAATTATGAAAGCAATCCCATTTACAATAGCATCAAGTTTAACCAACGGGTGTAAGGCCTATACACTGAAAATTAAAAGACACTGATGAAAATTTAAGAAGACATAAATAAATGGTAAAATATTGTGTTCTTAGATTGGGAGAATATTGTGAACATGTCCATGGTATCTAAAGAGATCTACAGTTTCAATGCAACCCCTGTCAAAATTCCAATGGCATTTTCACAGATAGAAAAAACTATTTAAAATTTGTTTGGAACTACAAAAAACTCTGCATAGTCAAAACAATCCTAAGAAGAGCAGAGCTGGTGTCACCATAGTACTCAATTTCAATCTATGTGCAAAGTTATGATATGGCATAAAAACAGGCACACAGACCAGTGTGACAGAATCGAGAGCTCTGACTAGTTTTTGCCAAGGATGTGACAAACTCACAATGGGGGAAAATAGTTTCTTCAATAAACGTTGTAGCAAGAACTGGATATCCACATGCAAAACAATGAAACTGGACCCTATCTTACAGCATTCATGAAAATTAACTTGAAATGGATCAAAGACTTAAATGTTAGATCTGAAACTGTAAAACTTCTATAAGAAAACAGGGAAAAGACCATTGTCATCAATCCTGGCAATGATTTCTTAGATAAGACACCAAAGGCATTGGCAACAAAAGCCACATTAAATTAAGGAGCTTTTGCAGAGCAACGGAAACAGTCAATAAATTGAAAAGGCAACCTAAAGAATGGGAGAAAGTTTCCACAAACGATGTATCTTGATAAGGGGTTAGTATATAAAACACATAAAGAACTCACAAACCTCAACAGCAAAAACACAAAAAATCCAATTAAAAAATGGGCAGTGGACTTGAATAGGCATTTTTCTAAAAAAGACATACACATGGTCAATGGGTATATGAAAAGATGTTCAATATCACCAATCATCAGGAAAATGGAATCAAAACCACAGTGAGGTATTACACCTATTAGGATGGCTTTTATCAAAAGGGATTAATGAGGAATATGTGGAGAAAAGGGAACATTTATATACTGTTGATGAAAATGTAAACTGGTACACCCACTGGAGAAAAATAATATGGGGGTTCCTCTACAAACAGAACCACCATACAATCCCAAGTCCCATTCCCAGGTATATATGTGAAGATACTGACATCAGCAGTTCAATGAGATATCTACACAACAATGGTCAATGCAGCATTATTCACAACAGCCAAGATATGGGGGCAACCTAAGTGTCCATCAGTAGATGAATGGATACAGAAGATGTGGTATATGTATACAGTGGAATATTACTCAGTCATAAAAAAGAACGAAAACCTTCCCATTTGTAACAACATGCATGGGCCTTGAGGGCACTACACTAAGCAAAGTTAAGTCAGACAGAGAAAGACAAATACCATATTATGCCACTTATATGTGGAATCTAAAAATCTGAATTTGAGAAAACAGAGAGTAGAATGGTGGTTACCAGGGGATGGGGGTAGGTTAATTGGGGAAATGCTGTTTTAGGGCACAAACCTGCAACTAGTAGATAAATAATTACTGAAGAGCAAATGGATGCCAGTGATTACAGTCAATAATACTATATTATAAATTTCAAAGTTGGTAGGAGCCTAGATCTTAATTATTCTCACCATGTACACACAAAAGATAATTGTGTGACATGATAGAACTGTTAGCTAAAACTACCATAATAATCATTTTGCAGTATTTAAATGTATCAAAGCAATGTGTTGTATACCCTAAGCTTACACAATGTTATATGTCAGCTTTATCTCAATTAAAAAATACTCTGGAAGATTTATTTAATATACATTCCAATACATAATGAAAGAAGAAAATTAACTTACTTTTAAAGAGCTTGTTCAGAAAGTGGTGTTTTTTCCTGTATAACACTGACTATCAGAGGCCAAGATTGAAAGAACTGTAAGTTTAGTATCCCAAGAATCATGAAACCTTACACCATGTGAGAACCTGACAATCATTTAAGTATCTTATTTTATTTCTTCCCATTTTCACTATTGCCCATTTCAATTTTTCAAGAAATGCAATCTATGTTTTACTCAATAATCCAATAACTCTTAATAAAACTCAGGTAGGTATCAATATATTTCATATTTATGAAGATATAAACCATAGAGTTAATAAAGCAATAAAATTTTTTACCTTCTGGATCATAGGTTTGAAAAACTCTCTTGGCTTGTTCTGAAGGTGCCTCTGGGGCAACTAAAGCCATATCCTGAAAAGATAGAAATCATGTTATCAACAAGCTATAGTATCATGACATTAAAAGCACCAAAACAATACTAGGGTGAAAAAATGATGGTACTGTAGTCAGAAACTGAGTCATATTCATTTCATAGGTATGTGACTAGGTAAGTCACAAACTCTCTGGGCCTTAAATTTTACATCTGAAAAATGGGAGTAATACTTCAATCACTGGGAATTATTTTAAGTGACACGTGAAGCTTTATATAAAAACACTTAAAAGTATAATATTATATAGGCAATCAACTATAAAAATGCAACCTGCAAAAATCAAAGACTTACACATTTGCTTCACATTATTGTCCAATTGAGAAGAAATGTAACTTAAAACAAACTAGTTTCCAAATATTTAAAATCAACTCCAGAGATACATGATAGCAATTACACAGGAATGCATCTGAAATTTATTCCTTTAGTAAGCATGTTCTATCAATACCTAGCCACAAATCAACAATCAAGTTTGGCATGTCCAAAAGTTTAATTTTTCTCAACTCAAAGGAAATATCTCAAAGGCAGAATTAGTTTCCCCATAAAATTCTTTATCATGACTCATCTCTTTACAGTTATCAATATTAAAATTAACCAAAAATAAGCAGTAAATTCAGTGCTATCTTGAATTCCTCAGAAACCTTCACTCCACATATTTAAACTGCTATGAAATTCTACCACTTAACTGACAAGAATATAAGCTCCAATTGTCTCCCTGTACAGCTTCTCCTTATAGTTTGGGCTAAGCCTTTGTCTATACTTGTGTTTACTCAGACAAACTTCATGAGAGAGCAAGGTTCCAATCATCCCTTTTTGCTATCTTGTCCTTAGAAAGCTGTGGGATATAAATGTTAAGTACAGGTTAAAATGCTGTTCCTCTTAGGAAATACATTTTTGTAAGAAATGTACTAATTTGTCCTGATCTTCCCACTCTTAACCTCAGAGATGAAGTAACAAACTGTTAAGAATAATGAGAGTAGTTCCTACCCAACCATGAGATTAGGTGCCTGAACACCTTAATAGTATGTTCAGTTCATATGGGAATATCAATTGAATAGGAATGAGAATCAAAACAAGAAAATATATGCAAGCCCTTACACTTTTTTTTGTACTAAAGGACAAATCATTTGACATTTTATAATAGAGTAAAATTTGGTGATGTACAATTATGTCCCATTTACTATCCTTTGACAGCAACTTTTAGGGTCTCCTTTTCTTGCGTTTTCAGTACTATTTTGCAGGTAATATGCATGTCAAGTGATGTTTTTGTCTTGACCAGTTTTCAATGCCTTTCTGATTTTATGATACAGGCTTTATTGCTGGATAGTTGGATTGTATCTAATCATTTTGCTGTTATAAAAAGTACTACACCAAATAAACTTGAATATGTCATTTCATACATGTGCCGATGCACCTGTAGGACAGAGCACCAGATAGGACTGCTGGGTCAAAAGCAGAAAGCAGTTGTAATTTTGGTAGAGATTGCTAGGTTCTTGGGTTATGCTTGTTCATTTAACCTATTTTAAACAATATTTCTTAAAACTCCTTATTTTTTCTAATACATCACCAATACAGTCTTAGCTCTATAATTTAACTCTGTATCTAAGCTAGGATTAGTGTCTGCTCTCAGATTTATGTAACAGTTACTAACACTGGGCTATTATTATTATTCCTCCTTACATTCTTTTATTCCTTCAAACCTTAATTGCAAAAATTTCTACATGTATTCCACAGTAAGCTTTAGTCCTCTGAACTGTTTCCAACCCTATTTCATTCTTTTTTCAATTCTCTCCTTTACAATGACTGCTGCAAACTGGAGCAACACCATCTCTGAGGAGATGGTATCAGCTATAGATGAGTTACAGGCGACACCCAAGGGCATGGGAGGAGGTTACAGTCGTTCTTTCTATTCAACATCTGTTACATTTTTTTGTTACTAGTAAATAATGGGGAAACATTGGAATGAGTTTTAAACATTACTTCAATATTTCTAAATATTATTTAAAACTATGATATAAATGGATGGAAAGGGATATTGTTTTTCTTGCTCAAAAAGCAATCTTTTTGAGGAAAAAGGTGGTGGAGAATATAATTGAAGCATTACATTTCACAGTGAAGTCTGGGGGAATTACTGTTTGTTCATAAAGTTGGGGAAACACAGAAGATGCCAGTTTAGCTATAGAAAAGGCTTACACCAAATTTTCAGGCAGTTAAACTACCTGATTCCTTGTCTTTTAAGTTCCAAGTGCTACAAATAAAAAATATACTATGCTTATGTAGAAAGGAATTAAAGTAGACAATGAAAATACTTGTTTATGAATATATAAAAAAATTTAGGCTTTAGAAAATGTTATTATTCTACTTTGAATAGGCTATATATTTTGGCCTGATATAGAAAAATCTGTTGAATCTTGGGCAAAATGCTTGGTGTCTCTAGTTTAACAAATGTTCATTTCGAGCAGGGGCTGGCAAATTTTTACTGTAATGGACCAGAGAGCAAATATTTTAGGTTTTGCAGAGATATGATCTCAGCAACAAGATAATATAATAAAACATAAACAAATACACACGGCTGTGTTCCAATAAACAATTTACAAAAATAGGTGCTGGCTTGTTTGGCATGTGGGCTACATTTTGTTGACCTATGATTTAGAGAATATATATATTTTTCCAAATTCTCTAACATTTATCAAAGATGTCTTCTTTCTGACACATCTGGGGATATAGAGAGGTTTCAATAGATTTTACAAAGAAAATATTTTGGCTCTCATCTGAGAGAAAAGAAGCTAGGGAATTCTAGCTAGCAGGAACAGAATCATGAAAGCCAGGGAGATGTGAATCAGCACAGGCCATGGGGGATCTTAAGAGTTGAATAGGACTGAGAACAGAGAGAAAAGGACATCAGCTTTGATGGAAGAAGGTGGCCAACCGAACATTTAGAGTGTGGAGGTATGATTAAACATCCAAGCAGAGCACACGGAGTTGCTCTCACGGTCAGCACATGATCGACACCCAGCTCTTGCCAAGTGTCTGCTTCAATAGGCTGGCAGGATATGACTAGAGGAGCTCAGGGCTGGGGAACCTACGAGGTCAGATACTGAAACAGATGAAAGCAGATTACTTCAAAGATGTCAGAATAGAGTATATCTCCAGAGAGGAACTTAGGCAATTTATTGCTTGAAGTTTAGATGTATCTCAAACCCTCTATATGAGGAAACAACAAAAAACCCATATATGAACTACCTAAACAGAAATTCCTTTTTTCCTCCCCAAATACAGCTCAGTAGTACTGTCAGGTTCCACATAGTAAAACCATCAACTACAACTGTTATTACTAACAAAGCAAACTGCGTCTTGAACAAGTAAAAAGAAACCTTGTTTTGCTCCTGTAGTGTCAGTATACTAATAACTAAAATTGCTAAACTCCTTAGGAATTAACTGTTCTTAGTCATACCACTTATTTTAAGATGTGTTTATACTAGAGGGGGGAAAAATGAAAAGAAAAGAAAATAAAGGCAAAAAGAAAAAAAAAGATCACACTAAAGTCTAATGAAAACATTCCAAAAGTTTTCATCTGCAAACCAAAACCGTACACTCTTCCAAATTATTGGCTTGCTTATTTTGAGCATTTACAATAGTTTTTAGATTATTATAGAAAATGATCACTTAGTTAAAGCTTGTTTAAATTTATATGTTTAAATGTTTATAGATGAAATCAGAAAGTTACAAAACCACCTTCTATTCCCATTAAACTGTTTAATGCTGAAGTCCTTTTAAGTTTCCAATTTGATTTAAAATCACAAATTCCAACACTAACTTTTACTAATTTACTTAAACACTTCTGAACAAGGTTCCTAGTTTAAATATCTGCAGCAGAATGGTCCATGTAGAAAATTTGGTAAAACACTAATATTAAACATATTTCGTATTTGCAGAGTGAGTGTGAACAGCAAGTATAGAATTCCATTCAATTAAGAAAGAGTCCTTTACAATCTTAAGACAATATTTTACTGAGAAATATATCTGTGCCATATTTTCTTATTGCACATCGAGGGAAAGATTTAATAATAAAAGAAGAAGTAAGATGGAACTCTCATGTAATAACTGTGTTAAGAACAACATGAAGAGAATTCTAACCAGATTTCCTATTTCCAAGACTTACTACAGCATATAGCATTTAGACAGTATACTTATTTTTCCCATACAATTATCCACACACCTACAATGTCTTGAACACTGTCAAGCCTATTAGATGGCGGAGAAAGATCTAGTCTGTGCATTAAGGTCACAATCTAATGGAAGAGAGACAAATATGCTACTATGTGCTTATTTCCATGAATATTATTTTAAAATCTTATGAAAACTACCTTGCAGAATAAAATTCAAACATACATTAACCTCCCACCCTCAAAAAAACACTGAGTTATAAATAAATAGATTCCACTGAGACAATTTCAAGTTATCCAAGTCAGCAAGGATACTTGTAAGCATTTTCTTTCTTCCATCCTTTGTTGTAGCACTTAAAAGAAAATTTCAGCATGCATTGTACCCTGAAACCCTTCCAGGTGTCCCAGTAGGAAAAGATCCTAAACAAGACAAATATCTAAGTGTCTTAGTTAGCTATTTAAACTCTGATTTACCATCACTATTATTTTTACTCTAAAAGTAGTTTTCTATGTTATTCAAATATATTCAGATACCTTTATCAGAGGAATGTTAGATTTCAATTTCAGTTCAGCCAATTTACTGGTCAACAGGGATTGCTAAGCAATACAGGTTTTAAAATTATCTAGCCTCACCCAACTTTCTTTAATTGGCAAAGTGCTACAGAAGAGAAGGGAATAAAAACACCAAGCTGTAATGGGACTATCTAATATCCTGTAATCATGAAAGAAATATCTCTTGTTCAGGTAGCTCTGTCTGTACTATCAGTATAATTATTCACTGCTCCCTATAAACCTTTTAAAATGTAACATTAGCTAT